AGGACACAGAGGACACAGAGAAGGACAGAGAAGGACACAGACGAGGACACAGAGGAGGACACGGGGCTGTTCTGAGGACAAAGCAGCAGCATTACACCACAGCAGCTGATCTCACACAACAGGCTGTTGTCTTGAGTTGGTCTCACAGTGAAAGGGACAGAGACACTCAGCAGGGACGGACAGATCAGGGACAGATCAGGGATCAGATCAGGGACAGATCAGGGACAGATCAGGGACAGATCAGGGACGGACCAGGGACACTTTCTAGGTGCAGTGTTTGGTTTAATGTCTCTCAGGTTTGAAAACTCTGAGCCGTTCTGACAATGGAAGAGCCACAAAAGTCTACATGAATGTGTCCTGCCTTTATTCTGGGCCAGCAGTGGTTGGCTTTGAATGTTGTCATTGTACCTTTAAGCAAGGCACTTCACCACACACACTGTAGACACATCTGCCCTCTTCTCAGTCATCTCAGATCAGCCTCATTCACTCACAGATCCAGTGAAGTGCCAGCTACAAAATGCCAAAACATTCACACATTTAGGGACTAATGAATTTCATTTTGTTTTTTTTAGTAAATGGAACCCAGGTTGTGACCAGGAATAGAGATATGAATACTGGTTCCAAATATCTGCGCCAATATTTAATTTTTTTTGATGGATCGGATATCGGTTCCAATATATCGCTTCAGTCGATATCCCATTTTGGTCCATAAATGAGTGTAATAGATGATTTACTGGACAATGTTCATCCCAAACATCTCCTATCGAACTTGCCTCTTTTAAAATCTGTCCTGTAGTGACTTTAAATGACAGTACCACACACCGTTTGTGTTTAAAGGATATTTTCTGTCTCTGCCCTGGTATCGGTTGATATCGGATATGGGCAGATACTGAACGCCAACGTATCAACATTGGTATCGGAACAAAAAAAGCTGGATCAATGCATTTCTAACCAGGAAACCAAGTTTGTAAAAAGGAAACCAAGCGGTGGTACTGGGAATATTCTGGCTTTATTCACATAAGAGAGACTTTATTTATTCAGAAGGAAATTCAAGTTTTGCTGCAACATTTCCACTGCGTCTCAATGTCCTTTTTGTCTCAGTCAGAGGTCTCAGTGCAGTTTAACAGCAGGACTGGTGAGGGAGGGTCAGCAGATCCTGTGGAAGAGCCAAAAGTGTCCCTCCTCTGCAGCATCACAGCAGAGTCCAGGGGGAGCCAGGTGAACACGACAGGAAAGGCATCGTTCCTACTCCACTCTGGTGTTTCGGTTGGTGATGAAATATTAAGTCTTCCCTGTATATTCCGGGTGATTTTCCCTGGGAAATTGTCAAATAAAAATGCCGGGATTCGCTCTGACTAAATGCAGGTAAAGTCGAGAGTCAGGCTGCATGTGTGAATAAAGCTGTAGAGGAATAACCCACCACAATGTGAACCCTGCCTTTGGTTCATTCTAACTGTGTGTCCCCAAAGCTCCCGTGTTGTATACTGTGTCCTGTGTACTGTGTCCTGTGTACTGTGTCCTATATACTGTACCCTATGTACTTGTGTCCTGTGTACTGTGTCCCATGTCTCGTATTGTGTACTGTGTCCTGTGTCCTGTGTCCATGTGTTCTGTGTCCTGTGTACTCTGTCCTGTGTCTTGTGTCCCATGTCTCTGTGTACTGTGTCCTGTGTACTGTGTCCTGTGTCCTATGTCCTGTGTTGTGTAGTGTCCTGTGTCTTGTGTCCAGTGTTCTGTGCCCTGTGTACTCTGTCCTGTGTGTACTGTGTCCTGTGTACTCTGTGTCATGTGTCCTGTGTACTCTGTCCTGTGTCCTGTGTTGTGTACTCTGTCCTGTGTACTCTGTCCTGTGTAGTGTGTGTACTGTGTCCTCTGTCCTGTGTACTGTGTCCTGTGTTGTGTACTCTGTCCTGTGTACTGTGTCCTGTGTACTGTTGTGTACTCTGTCCTGTGTACTGTGTGTGTCCTGTGTGTCCTGTGTACTCTGTCCTGTGTACTGTGTCCTGTGTTGTGTACTCTGTCCTGTGTACTGTGTTGTGTACTGTGTCCTGTGTACTCTGTCCTGTGTACTGTGTCCTGTACTGTGTCCTGTGTTGTGTACTCTGTCCTGTGTACTGTGTCACTGTGTACTGTGTCCTGTGTACTCTGTCCTGTGTACTGTGTCCTGTGTACTCTGTCCTGTGTACTGTGTCCTGTGTACTGTGTCCTGTGTTGTGTGTACTCTGTCCTGTGTACTGTGTCCTGTGTGTCCTGTGTAGTGTGTCCTGTGTACTGTGTACTGTGTACTGTGTCCTGTGTTGTGTCCTGTGTACTGTGTCCTGTGTATGTGTCCTGTGTACTGTGTACTGTGTACTCTGTCCTGTGTAGTGTGTCCTGTGTACTGTGTCCTGTGTTGTGTCCTGTGTACTCTGTCCTGTGTACTGTGTACTGTGTACTGTGTTGTGTACTGTGTCCTGTGTCCTGTGTACTGTGTCCTGTGTACTGTGTACTGTGTCCTGTGTACTGTGCAGGAGGATCAGTGCCAGAGTCCAGATTTATAGGACAGTAATATTGAGCATGTTGTCCAGCGTGGGATAAAAAAGCCACGACATGAGCAGTAATCACAGGAGCCAAATCCACCCAAATCACACACACAGACACAGACCGAGAGAAACACACATACATAAACACACACACATGCACACACACACACACACACACACACACACACACACAGGCAGACACACACCCAGACCCACAGGCATCCACTGCTGAGTCCTACAATGTCCAAAATATGAACTAAAACGACCACAACCGACACCCGTGCGATTTCCTTGAAACATACCACAACTTAAAGAAAATGTTATTATAAGATTTTTTTTTGTACTGGTAACAATTGTAATGCTGATTTACTCTGAGCTACAACAAAATATTAGAAATGTTGTCTCATTTATTTATATTATAATTTGGCGTTTTGGTTCTCAAGATGATTATCCAGTCAGAAAGCAGAATGAGCCTCACACGAGTCTCTCGTTTGTGTTGCCAGTTTCAGTCTTCATGGATGTGTTTGTCGTGCGTTTCTGTAATTAAAGGTGTGTTAGTGCTGAAGCAGTGTGAGGGGTTATCTGTCCACAGATCTGACCTGTAACTTGGCACATTCCAGGTAAAGCAGTTGCATTTCTATTAAGACAAGCAGGTGACAAGTTACCTACACAATAATACCGGTGTGCTGAAAAATGTCCATCCATCCATTTTTTCATGTCTAAGCAGGGACTCCCAGACTTCCTACACCCCAGACACGTCCTCCAGCTCCTCCAGGGGGACCCCGAGATGTTCCCAGGCCAGCCCAGAGACACAGTCCCTCCAGCGTGTCCTGGGTCTTCTCCTTCCAGTGGGACTTGCCCAGAACACATCCGCAACAGATGCTCGAGCCACTTCAGCTGCTCCTCTCGACGTGGAGGAGCAGCGACTCTACTCCGAGCTCCTCCCGTCTGACTGAGCTTCTCACCCTATCTCTTAGGGAGCCCCAGCCACCCTGCTGAGTAAACTCATTTCAACCGCTTGTATCCGCGATCTCGTCCTTTCAGTCATTACCCAGAGCTCATGACCAGAGGTGAGGGGAGGAACGAAGACTGACCGGTAAATCAAGAGCTTTGCCTTTCGACGCAGCTCCCTCTTCACTTCAGATACTTGAGCACAGTTGAGTTTTTAAAAAAAGAGAATTTAATTTATCTTCCACGTACATCTTAACATTGACACACAAAAGCTATATTCACACCATGATCTTCCGTTGTCACACCATTATCTAAATTGTGATATATTGCTTTCTAACCGGTGCCTACTGGTCTTCATAGTCTCTCCACTTGCTTTATAAACCTCCTCCTCCTCCAGAAGCATAGTAAAGGAGCTTGAACACTCAAAGATCATACTATGTCCTCTTTTGAAATTACACTATGCTGACTTTTCACATCCCCCCGGGCCCGTATTATTGATGGTAAATAAACTAAACTCCTGCTTAAGACATCCAGTTGGTCTCCATCCTTTTACTTCCACCCTTTCTTGGACAAACTGAGAACTTCGACAACAGTTTTTACCTTAAATATATTACGCAAACTGGACTCCTGTGAGATTTAATCCATGTGCAAATGTTGTTACCTTTTTAAAAACAGACCTGAAGTTGTATTTTGTTTAATTCACACATGTTTTAGTAACAATTTAGTCTGTCTACATCTCCAAAGATATAATGATATCAACTAGTGGTAGTTTTCACCTACTTTTACTTTTACTTCAGTAGAGATCATCCACATGATTCTAGTGAAGGTGTGTGGAGTTAAAAAACACAGTGGAGCGCTTACTGTAGGCTATTACCACATGACAAGTCAGTCTAAATCTGCAGGTTTGTGTGTTAAACGTGTGTGAATGAAACAAAACCCAACTCCTGGTCTGTTTGTGATGAGGAAATTACACAACAATTAAAAAAAAGCGTAACATGGGCCCTTTAACTAGGCCTATTAAATATATTGATTTCTAAATAATGACATTCCAATGCAAAGGTATCCACAAAGAAGCCTGTTTAATAAAAAAAGACCCCTCTTCGTGGGGCCCCTAATGCCCTGGGGAGTGGGGCCCGGTTGGCTCAGACTGGTTGAAACAGCCCGAATCCAACAGGATGCAATAAAATGGACAAACAATCACAAGAATTAACATGTTACCAACATCTTCACCGCGGCTCAACACTTCCGGCCTCCTGCAAACTTTGCCTGCTCCTCCCTCCCGCCTGCTCCCCTGCTCCGTGCTCTCCCTCTCCTCTCCGCTCTGTGCTCCTCTTTCTCTTTTCTTCCTCCTCTTCCTCTCCTCCTCCTCCTCTCCTCACCTCTCTCCTTCTCCTCCTTCTGCCCGGACCTCTCTCCTCTCCCTCTCTCCTCCTCTCCCGTGCTCGCCCTGGTGCTGGGCTCTCTCCCTGGCTCTGTAGGTGAGCCGGTGATTGGGCGTCAGGTTGAAAGGGGACGGCTTTTGGAAATCACATGGTACAACGTCTCGAGCTCCGTGAGTGACTGGAGACGCCATTTTGCTGGAAAGTTTGGAATTTGTAAACCTGAGGAGGAGGAGGGGGTCAGGAAAACTACTGTGGCGGGGAAAGGACGCTTTTCTTTTCAGCCACGGAAGTTTGACACGAGTGCAGAGAGCGGGTGCGGGGGGAGAGTGCGCACAGCGGAGCACAGCGGAGCACAGCGGGCTTGGCACGGCTGCTCTGCCGCACGGATCAACTCTTAAGTTTTTATTTTTAGGAAAACCAACAGCGCTTTGGTCCGAGCTTTGCCTCCTGGTCCCAAACCCGCAGAACAGAGCAGAGCTCGGCTCGTTGCGCTCTGGAACGATCGGAGCCTGGTGCAGAAGAGTTGTTCACTTTTTTACGCACAGCCGCGGTCACAGTGCGCGGTGTACGCCGGACAGAGAGCTCGTCTGACGGCGGACTGCAGACCAACTCTCGGTTCCCCGCTGGAGCGTTTACTCCTCCTCCTTTAGTGAACAACACTCCGCTTTTAGAGGCACTTTTCTTCTGTGGCCGTGAAGACAGAGCTGGAGACAACTGTCATCGACCGAGAGAATCCTCGAGCTGCGAGTTTATGTGGCCACAGGACCAGAGCGAGTCATGCCAGTCCGAAAGAAAGGTAAGCCGCAAAGCTTTCACTTAATTAGCAGCTCTGCAGCTAGCTGCTTCTCACACACTTGGACTGTCTTGAACGGGCGTTTACGCACAAAGGCACGAGAAGTGTCTCCAAAAGCCCCGTGTCCGCGCTGTGGCACGGCTCAGATGTGCCCACATCACGCCCTTTGGCTCCAGCCTCGTCTCGTGGCAGTCAGGTAAAGTCACTGGAGTGGCGTTAGCCGGTTAGCCTGAGCGGCTACAAACTTAGATGTGGGGCATCTCGAGTGCACAGCGGCCCATCTAAAAATACTCTCTAATATTAATGAAATATTTACAGCGGACTCCATCCGTCACCACGCTCTGCGCAGACAGATCCTACTCCCCAACTACAATCCAACCCTACACCCTACTACCTACACCCTAAACCCTAAACCCTAACCCCTAACTCTGCAACCTACTACCTACAACCTAGAGCTTAACTTCCCAACCTACACCCTGACCTCAGAGTCAACACTCTGACCCCAGATCCCAAAGTGCTCCAGGCTCATGTCTGAGGAGCTGAGTGTCAAAGTTTGATCAACACTGGTGTGGCCGGTGTCATGACTGTATAAATGTGAAGATGAGATGTTGTCAGCTCAGAGTTAAGAGCTGCTGTGTCCACACTGTGTTTGTGTTTGTGCAAATCTTTGGTTTTGTCCCAGTGTGCAGTCAATTATCTGAGCAGGAAGACTGGTCATGAAAACAAAATTTGATTTATCAAACGGGAGGTAATAAAAGTGCTCAGATATTTCAGACTTGAGTCATTTTGTTTTTGTTTTAGGCAGATGAGGTTTTTGTTTTAGGCAGATGAGGTTTATGTTAATTTTGATTGGTGAGGCTGGCAGACAGGCATCAGATAAGTTTTTTTGCCACTGTGAACGAAACAAAAGTCACATTTTGAATAATAGGTCTAATAGTAAAATATAACTATGATGAAATAAAGACATGCAAGTGTGAGTGAGTGTAGATGAAGTAGTGTTGTTTAAATTAAAACTGGTTCATGCAGCAGAGGAGGACTGTGACTCTCCTGACATCCACCATCATCTCCTCTAGTGACGGGACACATTTATGGGAGCCGAATCGTTTGGATCTGTTTGTTTCAAAGGGCCGATCTAAAGGCTGACTGTTTTTATATTTTCTTACTTGACAGAAGCCAACGTGAGAACTCATTTTATCTACAAACTCATCACAGAGACATGACACAAGCTCAGATTTGCTTAAACTGGTTCAAACTGAGAGTGGAAATGATTCAGGATCTAAATAAAAGGATGCACTACAATAATAATGATTAAACAACGACCTGTTATTATGATGTCAAAGAAAAGTATTTGGTTCCTTTAACAAATGAGATCCAACCGTTTTTTTTGGCAGGACAAAGTTTGTTAAAGGAATGGTATGCTTTTTAAAATTCATCAACTCGACCTACCCGTTTCCTTGGCTACGCAAACACAAACATGTCAAATCAAATAGACCTTTATCAGTTTTAATGCAAATTTATTCCATATACTGAGAATGAGACAAACCTAGATGTGTCGTTACGTTCACACTGCAGCCTGAAGTGACCCAAATCCGATTTTTTGGCCCCTATGTGACCTGTATCTGATCTTTTAATGACAGTCTGAACGGCACAGATCCGATTTTTTTCAAGTGCGACCCAGGACACTTGGATATGTGCTCCTAAAACCGATACATATCTGATCTTTTGACATGCGACTTCAGTCTGAACGGCCAAGGCGCATTCATCCGACCTACACGTTATCAACAAGCCACAAATGTACACAAACGTTCTTCTCGTCTCGCCACACGTTCCTTTCAACGGACTGCCCCACAAAACGCCACGACCAAAAACCACATCCTTCTCCTTCTCAATCTCCTTCTTACAACAAGCAAGTTGCACATGTTCTGGCTCCTGTACGTAGGGCTGGGTATCATTAAGAAGTTGCCGATACGATACATACCTCAATACAGAGGCCACGATACGATACACATCTCGATACACTGCACTTTCGATACAATTTCAAATCGATTCGATATGGTTCAATAAAAATAATGTCTAAATCATGACTGTGATACTAAACGTCTTTGTTAAACCACTTCTTGTGCAAAGTTCATATGAAACACAAACATTTTAATCATCAAAACAGTGAAAATGTCAAATGTGTCGCATAAACGAGTTTCCTTCATCTGAACAAACAGCAAAACTGTAGCGCTGTAACAAAATAATTTTGTAAAATATACAAAAAAATACTCTTGGCGAAATATCGATATAGCAGACCCTGATAACAATACTTTATCATCACATTAAACGATACGATATATCAATATTTTGATATTTTTGCACACTCCTACCGGTATGAGAGGAACTTTAAAATCGCCAGGTGGGACACTTTTGGCCGTTTAATGTTCACACTGGAGATCACACACAAGTCTCATTTAATTGGAAATGTGAACGACTAGGGATGGACATTCGATTAAATTTTCTTAATTGATCGTCGGGAGAATTAATAATCGGTTATCGATTAATCATTAACGTTTTTTATATTAAAATGATCATCATTATTATTACTATCTGCACTACTAATCTGCATAAATAAATTCAACCTTACGACATATAAACCGTAACGACTCTAGAGCCACATCAGCCCGTTTGACATTATAATGTGTTTAATGCAGATTGGCGCAACTCTCACAGAAAGAAAACTTAAAACCGCATCGCTAATTTGCATAAACTAAACGAAGAAAATAAACAGGTCTTGTGCGCTGATGCGGCACGACTCAGGTGAATACAGGTTAGTGTGACCATATTTGCGTTTGTCAAAACCAGGACACCGTACGGGGGGAGGGAGGTGGGGACTCGACATCGACATTGCGCGACTCTCACCTGGCAAAACTTTTTCCTACTGGACACCGAAACATATGTGCTGCTTTGTACACTGTGCACATGGACTCACACTTGTCCCGAACGCAACGAAAAGCGTGGAATTTTCTTGTACAAATCATTGTTAAATACGCATACGTTGCAGACTGACTGATTGTTTGCGTCTCGTTCCTTCTGATGCAGAGAGCTACATGTACGGACGTCCGTTTGGTCACGCTACGCTACGCACAGCAACCTACATTCGGTTTGTCGATTTAAAATGAACGTAATCGATGAAATTCTTAATGATCAATTATCGATTAAGCGACTAATCATGCCTCGCAAAAACATCGTATTTCACACAAAAAAATCCGAATTGAGCATTAAGCCCTGCAGTCTTAACGTAGCCAGGTTAATTCTCCGGAGACACAGGTTCAGTCGTGATTGTAGTAACTTTTTTTTTAAAACCGTAAGAGCACAGATTACGTACATTCCCTTTAAAAGTTGTCGAGCAAAATCACCTAATATCCACAATTTTTATTTAAACAGTTTTAAGTAATTATCTGGACTCGATCGCTGCTTCGAGTGCCCTCACAGACGTCGTGTTTAACGTGAACTGACCTGTGCCTTGTCCTCCGTGTGTCCCTCAGACGCCCAGAGAGCCCTGGTGCTGCTGCAGGAGTACAGGGCCAAGCTGCAGCACACAGAGGAGCGGACCCTGCGCCTCTCCATCCAGAGGGTCATCGACATCTTCCAGAGCAACCTCTTCCAGGCCCTCATAGGTACGTCCTTTGTCCTCCTCTCTTCTCTTCTCCAACATCCACCAGGGGGCAGTGTTTTCTCCATTTACACAGTTTCATTTGATTTCCGCAAAGATTCCCGAGTCTAGATTAGCAGTGCCAGATTAGATTATAATTGTAAATATCGTGTTCCTTTCCTCCCCACAGCAAACTTATGCATGCTGGTTTATTTTCTTATTTTTGATTTGTAGCTGATGCCTAAACGTGCGTGGGGAAACTGGATTGTCACGAGGACTGTGTGTGACTCTCACTGTTTCTTTGTGTCCACAACTTAAAGCAGACCTATTGTGCTTTGTGTCTGTCTCTCTATAGTTAAAATCTGTGACAACCGTGGATAAATTTGTTATAATTTGAACATTTGAAATCTCAGTGTTGATCTAAAGCGACTTAGTCACAACAAAGCGCTGTGAAGTTTTGAGCCCCTCCTATGGATAGCGGCACATTGTTGTTTTTTTTTGTCCCAAAGTATTAGTGGAATGCCGCTGAACCCTACGAGTATCATCAAATAAAGAAAATAAAATTATGTACAGAGCAGAGAGCGTGTAGCCGGGCTGGTGCCACCTAGTGTCTCCGCTCAGTATCATTTCTCTCCAGCGACTACATCAGGAATCAAAATACACTAGACGGTTTGCAAGAAAGTTGTAAACCGCGCACCGGCCAATCAGCGAAGAGCTGTGAAGCCATGACTGGATCTCTTTTGTGGAGCAGCACAACAGTAAACAAAGCAGCCGAGATGGATGTAGACGAAGACAGACATTCTGTGTTGGCAACGATTCCCGAGATCGAGGATTTAAAGCCGGAACAAAGAGAATGTTTGGTGAATTTTATCAAGAGGAAACACGTTATTGCTCTTCTTCCTACGGGATTTGGCGCATTACATACATCACGACCAAATGGCAGCGATTGGTTAAATAAAAAATGACCCGCCTACCGTTGAGCGAACGAATCCTAATGCTGCGAGGTCAGACGGGTTTCCGTGAAGTGAAACCGGCTGATGAATCAGGCTAGTCGGCGTGTACCGGTGGCGGAAAACAAGAGTTGATCTGCGATATGGCTTCTTGAAAATTGGCGAGTAAAGATTGAAGTTCAGCATGCATGAAAAACTGTAAATACTGTAAAAACTTCAGAGGGTCAGCGAGAAGGACAACAGTTATAACATATTTAAGATCTGTGAAAAGTCCATTGTGCACGAGGGATGTAACTGTAGCAGAAATATCATGGTTTCGTTTCGTTAGAAGTCTCACAATAATATCGGAGACCATCACAGTATATCGAATTATAAGTCTTTTTGCTTAAATTAATAGTTATGGTGATTTTAAAACAGGGAACTACATAGACCATGATCCTTTGGTGTTGTCACTGCCAACTACATGAAGAAATAACTGTTATTAAGTGCTTTTACATCTTAATTCTTCACATTATAACAATACTAAAGGCTTTTCAATGCTTTTAAAAGGTAAAAGTAGTATGACAATTTTGTAAGCCTCCACAAAATCTCTCAATAACTATCGAACCGTGAGATGCATGTTGTGAAAATATTGTATTGAGGCATTTTGATATTGTTACATCCCTAATAAGCAGAATAGGTGTGCTTTAATCAGTAGTTATGATACTACAGATTGTCATTTAGCTTGTAACTACTGTATTTTTCGGACTATAAATTGCTCCGGAGTATAAGTTACACCAGCCAAAAAATGCGTAATGAAGAAGAAAAAACATATAAGTCGCACCGGACTATAAGACTCAGTTTTTGGGGACATTTTTTTTATGAAATTTGAGACCAGGAGCTGACATTTTATCTTGAAAGGCAAGTTCTAGTAATGACAAAAGAACAGAGAACAACATACTGTTAACGTCACATATGAACAGTTCTTCAGATAAACTATAACATAAACAACAGAACAGAACAAGTTTAACAAACTCTCCATCTCACTCCAAATCACTAAATCCATTCAATTCTTCATCCTCGGTGTCACTTCTGAGCAACTCCATGACCTCCAGAGGTAAACGGCACTGCTTCCTCTTCTGTGTCGCTGTCGTCAGACTCAGCATCAGTTCCAGTTAGAATTATTCCGGTCTTTCTGAATCCCGACAGGATGGTTTCGGTGTCATTGAAGTCCAGGCTTTGTCGATCCAACCAGTCACTTCCAGGAAAATTGCATGGTGCATCCTCCCAGTTATCGTGAAGCTGTTGTTCTCCATCCCCGCTTTCCGCCAGTCCCTCACAAGTTTCTCTCTCACTCCAAACTTTCTTTCTGCTGCTCGATTACTGTTTTTGGCTGCATATTTCACTATTTACAGACAGGACCGAGGCTCTTTCTGCAGGAGACATGCGCAGTAGAGTGAAGAGACATTGGTACAGGAGGAACAGGAGCAGCAGATACTCACACACACAAGACTAAATATTAATATATAAGTCGCAGAACCACCCAAACCATGAAAAAATGTGCGACTTATAGACCAAAAAATACGGTACTTTTCATTTTGAAGCGTGCGACTTTGCTGCTAAAACTCAGCCCAAAGTCCCTCCTCTTCCCGAACAATATCTGCAGGAGCCGTTCCAGATTGATAATTCAATTCAGAGTGCTGCTTTAATCTTGGGCAGGTTATCAGATACCCTTTTGTTGCACTGCCAGTGGGGAATGCGGGCGAAGTGTCGAGCCCAGGAACACAACAGCAGAGTGAGAGTTGAACCCACCACCCTCTGATTTTAAGAATCTGTTGAGCGTTTTTGGACCATTCAAGATAAACTATACAAAACCCATTTAAAAAAAACACCTCTCCAGACCTGGCTTTGTGACTTGAAGCACCTTTAGCCCCGTGTTCTCTTTATCTTACCCTTTTTAACCTTGTGTTTCTGTGATCTGATTGGATGAAAGGCACCATGAAATAACATTTTTATTTTTTATTTAGATTTTTTATTAAGACTGTTCAATTACGATAATTTAATTTTGATTGTGATTTCGATTTGTGTGTCAAATGATCTTCAAACTCATATTATCAACTTGAAACTAAGCTTAACAAAGTTTATTTTTGGATATTTATTATATAAATAAGTATATGTATTAAATTTTTTAAATATAGAGATTGTAGAACAGCTGGATATGAAGTTTATTTTGGATACATTTATGTTTTTTTATGCCTTATTTCATATTCATAAGTATATTTTATTCATTTATTTTGTTTTGTACATATCAAAACTCCTAAAGTTCATATTTGTAGCCTGTATTTATTTTCAATTTGAAAATTTTGCGTAAATTATCAATAACAAAGTGTTTTATTTATTTATTTATTTTGACAGAGAAATACTGAATAAATGCATGTTGAAACTAAAAAAGTCATTTGAATAATTGTGATCTGGACCAAAATAATAGTGATAATGATTTTTTTCCCCCATAATCAAGCAGCTGTTATTATTTAATTCTGTTTTGTTATTTTTAAATTTATTTTAATTTCATTTTTATTTTTAATTTAATTTAAATTTTAATACATTTTTATGTAGTTTTTTTTTTTATATTAAATGTTATTTTTATTTATTAGGTTTTTCATGTATTTTTTATTTATTTATTCATGTATTTTTATTACAACTTTTCCAGTAACACTTCAGGTGAAATCCAGAGTGAGGCGATTCGTTTTAACAGTTTGTAAAGTGTTAACAGACGACTGCTGTCTGTTATTATGTGTTGAGTTTTGCTCGTGGCCCATTCTAGATTTATTCCATAATTCACTTTTCAATCTGTCCGCTCAGTCAGAGGTTGTAATCCTCCAGTGTAATCCAGTCAGAGTAGCACGTCCCGCACACGCACATGCACACGCACACGCACACACACACTCACACACACACACACACACACACACACACGTTCTCTGCACTTTACAGCCTGACACATGGAGCTCACACACACAGACACAAGTGTTAAAGTGAAAGACAGGTCTGGTATTTTAGATCTGGGGTCTTCAACAGTTTTCAGGCCATGGATCCTCAAACTGATGGAGATCTGGAGCAGGGACCCCCCACTATAAATGTGTCATACAATTATAGTTTATATTAAATTGGGCCTAGTGTCGTGTATAAACAGCTGCTCTGTTATTGTACATTCAATACTGGGGGGGAGTTTCCATCAAAGTCGCTTAACAAGTCCAGACTTATCCTGAAATCCTGAGCTGAAACTATCTCCAACTCCAGTTTAAGTTTCAACTCGTTCCATGACAGAAATAAACCTCTAACCAAAGCTAATTGTTTTTTTTTTTTATTTCTTACAAGGAGGACGCAAATATACATTGAGTAATAATGTGTTTAATGCTGCTTTGCACACATTTGTTTACACTTTACAGAAATGAAACTTAAAACCACATGGCTCATTTGCATAAACTATAAGTGTTGAAAAAAACAGCTTGCTCCTTGTGCGTTGATGTGATGTTCAGCTTCTGTCCTACTAACTCCACGGGGCTCCTGACTACGGTCTCTGTAATGCTCTGACAATCCATCAAGCGGTGTGGCTTCATAGTTTACCAAAGTTGTACTAAAACATTTTGACAGATTTTTGAGCGCCGTGTACTAGGGATGGGCATGATTAGTCGACTAAACAATAATTGATCATTAAGAATTTCGTCGATTACGTTCATTTTTAATCGACAAACAGAATGTAGTTTGCAGTTCGTAGAGACGAGGCTGCGTCTGACAGCGCAAACACTGGAGTTGTGCCTCACAGTTCCCGCTTTGGGCTCTGGTTCCTTGGAGACACTGTTCCACTCAGTGAGTGTGTTTACATGCACATCAGTGTCCCAGTTTCATCATGGTGCATGTGAACGCAGTGTCCCGGTTACTGCAGCATAAGGAACTGCACTAAACCTGCACATGTACGATCGTTGAAATGAACCATCTCCAACGCGACACACACACAGAACAGACTCATCATCCTCATCATCCTCATCATCCCTCTGTCACAGAAAGAACACTCATATTCCACTGAGTCGTGTCCTTTAGTCCGACAGAAACTGAACCGCATCAGCACTGTTTTTTTTTTTTTTTTTTTTTTTTTCCCTTTTTCCTTAGTTTATGCAAATTAGCCATGCGGTTTTAAGTTTCATTTCTCCTGCATTAAACACATTATAAAGTATTATAAACGGGCTGATGTTGCTCTATAGTGGTTTTGCTTTATAGTTTGTAAAGTTGAATTTATTTATGCAGATTAGTAATAGTAATAATAATGATGATCTTTTTAATATAAAAACATTGATGATTAATCGAAAATCGATCGTTAATTCTCCCGACGATCTATTAAGAAAATGTTATCGTATGCCCATCCCTACCGTGTACCACATAAAATCGGTTCGAGGTCAGGAAGCATAACCAGAATTAATATATAAGGTGTCGATTTTTGAGAAAATTAAAGGATTATAAGTGCGTCTTATAGTGCAAAAAATATGGTATTTATATATTAAATTTTTATTTATTTATTATTTTTTTATGATTATAGGAGGAAATTCTCAAAGTTGGGCGTTATTGAGAGTTCCAGCCAAAGTGACTTAGATTTTCTTCATACTTTGCCTCAATGATGACCAGAGCCTCGTGTGTCCACAGATATCCAGGAGTTTTATGAAGTGACCTTACTGGACAGCCAGAGGTGGACGGAGAGCGGGAAAGAGGCGGAGCCGTTGCCTCCGGTCCACCTATGGGACAGCCCCAGCATCACCTCGGACACCCTGGCCCTGAGCACCAGCCTCCAGGTACCACCACCCATGGGTGCAACACACTCTTATGGTGTTACTGATCTAGTGCTGATTTTGTGTTTAGTTCTTTCTTGGAATTGTTGGCTCAAGCTCATTGTTACTTTGCAGCTGATGTTATCAATGTTCCCTGGGGGTGCGATGTTAACTGTAGGCATCTCTTTTAGGGGTGTGACAATATCCAAGTCTCACAATGCGATATCGTCACGGTATGAACCTATTTATTGCGATATCGTGGGAAAGCTCACGATATGTTGGGGAGGCTCACGATTAGGGATGTAACAATATCCAAATATATTACGATATTTACGCAATATTTTCACAATATACATCTCACGGTACGATATTTATTGCGATATTTTGTGTAGGCTAAACTGTGAATGCGACTTTTTCCTCTTTAAAATGCCTTGACAAGACTTAATCCAAAGAACTAAGACTTAAAAGTGCTTAGAACTGTTATTTCTTCTTGTAGTCTGCACTGAAATGGAGCAAAGGATCATGGTCTATGTAGTTCCCTCTGCTTAAATTAAGAGTTATGGTGCAGCAATAGCTAAAAAAAACCAAACTTGCGATTCGATATATTGTGATGGTCCACGATATTATTGTGAGAACTTTGACGATACGATATCACGATATTTGAGTTATTGTTACATCTCTAATCTCTGACGCTCTTTTAAACTTTAATCTGAGCTTTATTTTGAAACAATCTGAACGTAACGAACTGATTTAGCTGGAAGTACAACAGGTGAAATTATTTGTGCTTTGCTGAAGTTCCTCTCAACCACTCACCATGGTAACCGCTGAGCTTTCCACCACGGAGATACATGTAGAACACCCCCAACGCGACGTCACTGCAAAGTATCAGTAGATTCATATGACCTCATGACACTGTAGAGTATCTATGGTTTGAATAAAATGCTTGTGGCTTTCACGGTTTCTAACTTTACAAGCTTCACCTCAGTTTCCAATGAGGTGTTTAGGTTTTGGAGCGCCCCCTGCTGTCAGCAAGCGGAATGAACCCTGGGAAAATAAACAAATTGACAGTTTATCCCCCATGAAAGTGATGCTGATAGAGACGTGTGTTTGTTTTGAACGCAGTTTGTCCGCAGAGTGAATCAGCCGATGGTTTATGGGCTTATAAAGTGCGTGGGAGAAATCTGGAGTTTTATCAGTGAGGCAACAAACCTGGCAAATTGCAAGGACACGTCAGAAGGTGGAATTTGCTGTGTAACTATCAGATTGCAGATTTGTTAACCTGGTTTATGGTTCATATCTGTGTAATTACTGGACATAAACACAGAAAAGTAACAAAAACTGCCACAAAGTTCAGCATCTTCTGTCAATATAAATATACAACTGGGTTTTTTTTTGTTTTTTTCCCATGATAGCGAGCCATTATTCATCTCTAAAGACATGCTAGTTATCAGTTGAAAGAATTTCAAGCCGTGAGATTAATATTTCAGGTTTGTGCATCGAAACAAATACCGTAAATTCCGGACTATAAGCCGCTACTTTTTTCTCACACTTTGAACTCTGCGACTAATAAAATGATGCGGCGAATATATGGACACATTCTTTGTTTGGCACATTGTCCATTCATATATACGGTCTTTGGTTTGACAACACAGCGGATACGAGCAGCCTGAGTGCAGAAAACGCCGCTGTCTGTGCTGGTCACACATGGATCTGTTGTTATGATGCTAAATGAACAGTACTGTGCGTAAATGACGAGAAGAAACGTCTCAAACTTCAGTAGCCGGACATCCACTCATACCTGATTGACAGAACTAACCCTGCCCCCGAGAGAGTTTGAAATCTGCAGAAATCCTCCAAGACACTGACACGATACAGACAGAACAGAGGCTCTTTCTGCAGGAGACATGCGCAGGGGAGAGACGCGGTTGATGCGCCGAGGAAGATGCTCGTTTGATTGTGTTTTGAACAGTTATTTTGCGCTTCATACACACACCCTCCTCACGGAAAACACACGAAGAAATGCAGATGATGCAGCTTTTGAGTTAAAGGCGACTGATGTGGCTGTGGAAGAAGGAAATTGAGCTGTTCCACGTGAGCTCGGCATCAGTGATTCGATGGTGAGATTTTGGCGACTGACTCAAAAGCAAAAAGACGACAAAAGTTTTCAGAGGCGATAAAAGCAGACGGACCAAACTTGAAAACATTCTTGAAGACGTGGACACCTGCGGCTTATATTCAGGTGCGGACGATGTATGTACAATTTTAAACGCTCTCCTCTCGGTCACATTAACCCGAAGAAATTATTATTTTTTCCTTCTCTTGGGGCGGGTCAATCAGACCAAAAAATGTATTTTCTCACCTGGTAAGAATTTATTTAAAAATCAATTTTTGGGTCTGATTGACCAGCCCCAAGAGAGCGGAGAAAGAAAGAAAACAAAATTATTCGGGTCAATGTAACCCCGAGGAGAGCATGAGGGTTAAAATTTAGTTAAAATTTAGTTGATGCGGCATATATTCAGGTGCACTCAATAGTCCAGATTTTACGGTAGGCCTAACAAGTAGGGATGTAACAATATCCAATTCTCTCTGTACGATATTTTGTAGAGGCTAATATAATTGTAGATAGGACACTTTTTTGCTTTTAAAATACTTTGACAAGATTTTGGTGTGAATTATTTCCATCATAATCCCAAGAATTCAAGTAAAAAAACTATTTCTTCATGTTGTCTGTGCTGAAATGAATCATGGGAGATGTAGTTCCCGATGTTTATAAGCTGTTTCTAATGTAAAACCATGAATTTAAGCAAAGAAACTTGTAATTCGATATATTGTGACAGCCCCACGATATTATTGTGAGACTTTTGACAATACGATATCAAGATATTTCAGTTATTGTTACATCCCTGCTACTAATAAGGTAAGTTACACAGGCCCCTGCTCTCAGTTTGCAATTGAAGAAAAAAAAGAAAAAGAACGGATTTAGCTGGAACTACAACAGGTGAACGGATTGTGTACTGTTATACAAGTCCGTCTCAAATTACATTAAAGTTACAAGCGAGCGAATACTACCCCCAGCGTGCAAAGTATCAATAGACAAAAGCTTTTAGTCAACAGATATCCAAAAAGTTTAGAAAGTTTTAAAACATCTCATCTCACATTTTGGCTCTACCAAGGTGACCAAGCCCCTTTTTGCTCAAGACAAAGACTCAGATTTAGGTTCTTCTGCGCGCAGTGTAGGCTAAACCACATTTCCAACCTCGTTTTCCTGGGCCGAACCACAAAGCGTGCTCCTCGTCGCGCAGTCAGTCATTGAGCTAAAAATAGGGAGCATTAAAATAGATCAGAGCCGCTTCTTCTTCTCCTCCTCCTCCTCCTCCTCCTCTCCTCCTCTCTGCCTCTCTCAGACTTCGGTGGCCGGCCGCGGGCTGCCCGGTGCAGAGGGTCAGCCCAAACACGGGGATGAGGATGAGAGCGTACGCCGGGCCGACCACAGGGGGCGCCCTCCCTCCAGATCTGGGAGGGGAGGGTCAGCGGGGCCACAGTCAGTCAAAAGTGCAGAGAAGCTGTCAAATTTTAAAGGGCCCATCTCATGCAAAATAACTCTTTTCACGTCGTAGCTTCTGCACAATTTGGGTTCAAATACACCAAAAAATACTCCTGGCGATACAGCAGCCCACGATATCGATACTGTACCATCACATTAAACAATATGATATATCGATATTTCAATATTTTTGCACCCCTGTGTTCCATCTTGTGATGCCAGGCGATCATACAAGAAGAGCTCCTCTGTGTTTTGAAACTCGATACGCTAGAATCACTTGGATGATTTCAGCTCTGGAATTGCCAGGCAGACTAATAATAAAGAATTACTCTATCGTGTGAATGAAACACAACTCTAGGTGTGTTTTTGACGAGGTAACGGCATTAGAACACGGCTTAAAATGTCAATTTTGCATATAATAGAACCTTTAATAATAAACTGAGCAAAATGTGAAAGTGCGAGTTAAAGTTTTCCCCCATATCACTGAGCAAAATTGATCTTATCCAAGTATAGATATATTGCACAAGCAGCTTTTGAGGTCAAAACGTGCCAGATGCACACTCAGGAATCAGGAAGTGCACTGTTAACATGCTAGTTGTCGTGCTTATAGCGATTATAAACTCATCCCCGTGAATAATGAGGATGTTCAGAAAGTGTAAGGTGAGTAAGGAATAATTTTGGAGCACTGCAAAATGTTTAAAATGATCTACTTCTGCTTTTCCTGTAAAAAAAAAAAATCAGGTGCGGTGCGTTTTAGGACATACTCATTAAATCGTGTTAATTCATCTTCTAAAGTTATTAAAAATGTATTGAGCTAAATGTGAACTCGCAAGTTAATGTGCAAAAAAGATCATGTAATGATCTACTCCAAGACACGCAGGTTTTGTGAGTCCACCGACCTGGAGAAGCGTAGTTCAAATCCAGCTCGGGACTGTGCATGCTGTCGTTGTGTCCTTAGGCATGACACTTCACTTACCTTGCCCAGTATGAATGTGGTGAGCGCGAGTCAGCTGTGGCTACAAGCTTGGCATAATTGATTGAAATCTGATTACCGCATTTTTTGGACTATAAGTCGCACTTTTTTTCATGATTTGGGTGTTTTCTGCGACTTATACTCCGGTGCGACTTATATATTAAAATTTTCACACTGAAGCGGCGAGAGGCTTTAGTCTTGTGTGTGAGTATCTGCTGCTCCTGTTCCTCCTGTACCACTGTCACTTGGCTCTACTGCGCATGTCTCCTGCAGAAAGAGTCTCTGTCCTGTCTGTATCATGTCAGTCGATCGCTCCATTACTTTTGTACCACTGAACAATTTAAAATCTGAACAAACTTATAAAGACGACTGAGAAGACTGAACACAAATCAGATTTTGCAGATTACAAACTGTGAGTAGTGAAATCTGCAGCTGAAAACTAATCGAGCAGCAGAAAGAAAGTTTGTATTGAGCGAGAAACACCGGGAGGATGCACCATGCAACTTTCCTGAAGTCACTGGATGGATGGACAAAGCCTGGACTTCAGTGACACCGAAACCATCCTGTCGTGATTCAGAAAGTCCGAAATAATTCTAACTGGAACTGATGCCGAGTCTGACGACAGCGACACAGAAGAGGAAGCGGCGCTCTGTTTACCTCCGGAGGTCGTGGAGTTGTTCAGAAGTGACACCGAGGATGAAGAATTGAATGGATTTAGTGATTTGGAGTGAGATGGAGAGTTTGGTAAACTTGTTCTGTTGTTTATGTTATAGTTTATCTGAAGAACTGTTCATATGTGACGTTAACAGTCTGTTGTTCTCTGTTGTGTTGTTATTACTAGAACTTGACTTTCAAGATCAAATGTCTGTTCCTGGTCTCTGATTTTATAAAATAAATTTGCCCCAAAAATTGTGACTTATAGTCCGGTGAGATTTATAGTCCAAAAAATATGGTAATACATTTTTTAAGGTGACAAAATAAAATGGTAAAAAATTGTAATGTTTCGATTTGAGGATTTAATATAATGCCCAGCTCTACCTTACTACTACTGCTTGGATTGACTTAATAATGCAATGTAATAAAGAATCAAGGGCTTTATCATTTATATATTTTTAAATTGTTTTGTCAACTGTGGTCCCTGAAGTGGGCGGAGTCATTCGGAGTGAGCCCGCCCATAACCTGTTCTGACTCCTCCTCCTCCTGTTGACCTGTGGGCGAAATGTGCGTTCCTCCTGTAGACCTCTTTAAAGTGCGTGGCCTGACTGTGTTCTCCCCTGTCCCAAACGCTGCGCTCACAGAACTGTTCGCTCCTCCACGAGATCCTGCGCACGCTGGTGAGTACTGAGCATGCTCCATCAGTCATGTGGACGAGAGGCGGGGCTTGTGCGCAGGGGCCCGATCACGCCCTCACATTTGGCGCTGTTCTGTCTCTCTGAAGTGGTTTTACAGGCTGTTTTTAACGATCCTGATCTCCTAAATCAACTTTTGGAACCTTTAGCAGCAAAATTATTCCCTCATCTAAAACATTATTATTACTTTATTATTACTTGGGTTCACCTTGTGATGTCATCCAGGAGGCGTCCTTGCCTTCTCTGGACTCATTTGGATAATTTCAGTGCTAAAAATTGACTTCACTCCTCGGTGCACCAGCAAATGGGTAAATTCATGCACTGTCGACTGATTGTCTCCATGTATGTTTCTGCTTTGCCTGGAATGTTTCACAATATCGCATTAAATGGACCGTGTAAGATTTCCGTAAAGATACGAGGTAGACATCAGTCCAATCCACTTTATTTCTATAGCACATTTTATAAACATGACAGTTTCCCAAGTGCTGCACAAACAAATTAATACAATAAAAGACTGTAAATTATATTTATTAAAAAAATAAATATAAAGTGTTAAAATGCATAAAGCTATAAATGATAAAACAATGAATAAAATAAAAAATATAAAATAAATAAAAGACTTGGAGCAGACATGTCAAACTCTAGCCAGGCTGGCGCCACCCAGTGTCTCCGCTCAATTTAATTTCTCTCCAACGACTAGGTCAGGAATCAGAATACAATAGACCCTGGAAGTGAGAGTTCGGGCACCAGCCAATCAGCAAAGAGTCATATATGTTGTCAACGATTCCCGAGATTGAGGATTTAGAGCCAAAATAAAGAGAATGTTTGGTGAATTTGCTCAAGGGGAAAGACGTTATTGTCCTTCTTCCTACGGGATTTGGGAAAAGCTTAATATACCAGTTATCCCCGTTAGCGGTGCATTACATACGTCACGACCAGATAACAGCGATTGGTTAAATCTAGAGTGTCCAAACTTTTTTCATCAAGGGCCACATATGTAAACACAGACGAAGCAGAGGGTTGATCGAGGGCCGTAGACTGGTGGCTCAATACAGTGAATAATTGAAATATGTGCATGTTTAACACGTTAGAATGACCTTTTATTCATGCTAAGATCCTTAAAACCACACACTAAATATTAAATATTAGCTTTAGCTAGGTAGATTTTCAAAAAAACTTGCAGTAAAAAAATTATTTTTAATTGATGCAAGGTAATTTGGGCCAATTCACCTGGAAGCCTGAGGGCCAAGAAAAATTTGTCTGAGGGCCGCATTTGGTCCACGGGCCATAGTTTGGACATGCCTGGGTTAAATGATAGAAAAAGTACTTGCCTACTGTCGAGCGAACGAATTCTAATACTGTGAGGTCAGACAGTTTCTACGAAGTGAAACAGTCTGAATCAGGTCAATTTTCTATATCCACACTGACAAAGGTGGTGCCACTAAGTCAAGCAATAAACATACCTTTTCAATTTGAATACATGAAAGGTAGACATAGTATCATAGTGTGGAACATTCCAGACAAAAGGATAACCTCTCCATGCAGATGATCAGACGGTGGGTCCTTTACCAGAGAAATTCCACAGTACACCTTCAAAGCCACTTGAGAGATGCTCCACAGTGCCACATGTCCGGGTTCTGCTGCAGTCATTGGCTTCTGTCCTTCTGGGTCATGTTGGGTCAGAGTCGGTCTCATGTCATGGGCAGGGTTGGTTCCACAGTGTTCACTCAACCTAACGTGCATTTTGGAACAAACCCTGGATCAGAAGCTGCAGTCCATTCATGATCATGGCTGATTACGATACATCTGCATTGTTCAAACTGTGTGGTCTAAGTATAAGGTCTGTTTTAACCATACTCTGAGAAAATGTTCCTCAGCAGAGAACCAGCCCAGCTCCTGGTCTGGACCTGCACCTGGTCCAGACCCTGTTCAAACCAGGTTAAACTGAGCTGGTGCTTCTGCTGGAGGTGGAGATGGTTCTGGTGGGTGTGTGATGGAGATGATTTTGTGGGGGGAGAAGTTTCTTCAGAGCTGGTTCTGGATCAGATGGTTGTGTGGTGGTGATTGTTGTGGTGATGGAGATGGTTTTGTGGGGGGAGATGGTTCTACTGGTTCTGCAGAGGATGGGCTTGAAGGAGATGGTTCGGGACCAGATGGTTGTGTGGTGGTGATTGTTCTGGTGGTGGAGATGGTTGTGTGGGGGAGATAGTTCTACTGGGTCTACTATCTCCACCACACAACCGAGGATGGGTTTGAAGGAGATGGTTCTGGATCAGATGGTTGTGTGATGGTGATTGTTCTGGTGGTGGAGATGGTTGTGTGGGGGAGATGGTTCTACTGGTTTTACTGGTTTTTAATGAGGATGGGTTTGAAGGAGATGGTTCTGGACCAGATGTCTGTGTGACGATGGTTGTGGTGGAGATGGTTGTGTGATGGTTTTGGGGCTGTTTTTTTGGTGGACATGATACTGAGGGAGCTGTTTATATGTATTTTTATAATATTTTAGATTAGACATTTATGATATTTTAGATTAGACATGTCAAACTCAGGCCCAGGGACCAAATTTGGCCCAAGATATAATTATATTTGGCCCACGAGATCCTATCAAAGATGTATTAGAGCTGCCCGCCGGCTACAGATAGACTATAGAGACATTATTTATTTAAAATGTTGTTATTTTTTTATATTATGCTTGTTCCGGATTCAGTGTTTAAGCAAAACTATTATTAAACATTTATTTTAATAAGAAAAGTTTTAACATTACATATCTCGAAAGTATAGAAAACATGCAAATGTTGTTGAAATTTTTTAATAAATATTTAGTTTGGCCCACGACTTAGTCCAGGGGTCTCCAACTTATTGCTCAGGAGCTACCAATAACTCTCCATCTCCATCCAAGTTGCTCACCAAGGGATTTCTGAATCATATTTATTGTGCTGAATAATTAAAATTTGATTTGATTAAATGCCTGTTAAATGTATCATTCTGATGCCTGTAATCGTACACTAATAAAAATACTAATTGTGTAAATGCTTTATGGGCAACTGTACCCCATCTAAGCCTCTTATATTTACTCGATTTCTCTCAATGTCTTTAAATTTTTCTAAATAAGTAGCTCTCCAGTAATTTAGTTTTCTAAGAGTAACTCACCAGAGGAAAAAGGTTGGAGACCCCAGACTTAGTCCCAGTTTTTAATTTTGGGCCTCTGTTAATTTGAGTTTGACACTCCTGTTTTAGATACTGCTTTCATGTTCTGTTTTGGAACATGAGGACTAATTTGGACACTTGGATAGTTTACCATATTTATTTTATTTTTAAATTTTTTTTTATAAGTGTTCTTCTGAGTCTCTTAGATCACTTTTATCACAGACTGGACTTCCTGTTAGACTGGACACAGGATGAGACGCAGGGAGTGGTCAGGGCAATTTGAACAGTGTCCTCAAACAGCTCAATCTCTCTTTCTTTTTCTTTTTTTTAATTTATGCTCTCTGCAGTTGGAGCTAGAGTCCAGCAGAGGGAGCTGTCTGCACAGATACAGAGCCCCAGAAAGACTTATGAAAGATTATGTGTAAATTATGTTAGTCTGTCTCTTAACTTTTAAAATAAATCAGAAAAGGAAACTAACAACATTTTTTTAAAGGGCTCAATAATCTTTCACAGTGGGAAAAATAACAAAAAATGAATACTCAAGAAGAATACTACTTCAAAACATGACACGAGTAGAAGTAAAAAGTATGTGATAAAAGTATGTCTCAGTAAAATTTAAGGTACTAAAAGAAAAAAAAAAAATTTAAAGAATACTAGAAAAAACAAAACAAACTGATAACACTTTTGCATGAATAGCAGAAAGTTACTAGACACTGTGACCACAAATGAATAATAATCTTTCCTCAAATAAATACTATTAAAACGGATTTATGAACATTATAAATTGTATTCTAGATGATGGTTAATAAGACTGGAAAAAGTGCTGAAGAAAAAGTACAGTTCATGTATAAAAAAAACCCTCATATTTGTATTTAGATTATTTCTATGGGACAAGAGCTGAAAGGAGAAGAGTGTGAGTGAGTAAGACGAAGATTTGATATTGATTTGATTTTTAAATATTTCTATTATCGCTGGGTATCAATAAGAAGTTGCCGATATGATACACACCCCGATACATAGACCACGATATGATACATATCTCTATACAGTCCACTTTCGATTCAGTGCAATATATTTCAAATCGATTCGATGCGGTTCAATAAAAAATAAAGTCTAAATCATGACTGTGATACTTAAAGTCTTTGTTAAACCACTTCTTGTGCAAAGTTCATATGAAACACAAACATTTTAATCATCAAAACAGTAAAAATGTCAAATGTGTCGCACAAACGAGTTTCTCTCCACTAAACAAGCAACAAAACTGTAGAGTTATAACAAAATAATTTAATAAGAATTTACTAAGAATTCTATGTTCCACGGGGCGAATCGCAGCTGACGCCCGATCGAGCTTTGCGGACAGGGGCAGTCCTAGATTGCAAGTTCTTGTCCTGGTTTAGTCCTGGTTTAGTCCTGGTTTAGTCCTGGTTTAAACCTGGTTTCATCTTGGTTTCATCCTGGTTTATACTGGTTTATACGTGGTTTAAACCTGGTTTAGACCTGGTTCGGTCCTGATTCGGTTCTGATTCGGTCCTGATTTGGTCCTGATTCGGTCCTGGTTTAGACCTGGTTTAGTCCTGGTTGAGTCCTGGTTCGGTCCTGGTTTAGACACTTGGTTGAGTCCTGGTTGAGTCCTGGTTGAGTCCTGGTTGAGTCCTGGTTCGGTCCTGGTTTAGTCCTGGTTTAGTCCTGGTTTAGTCCTGGTTTAGTCCTGGTTTAGACCTGGTTTAGACCTGGTTTAGACCTGGTTTAGTCCTGGTTTAGACCTGGTTCAGTCCTGATTTGGTCCTGATTCGGTCCTGGTTTAGACCTGGTTTAGACCTGGTTTAGTCCTGGTTGAG